AGGAGCCATAGCCCGAGCGTCGTTTTGAAACTTCGCAAACCTCAGTCCGACCAAAAAGTTCGATGGACAGAGGAAACAATTGAATGAGAACATGGGAAAGAAATCTTCCAAATGTAAGAAAAGTATTGCTATCTCGCCAAATGTCAGAATCGGCGGTGTGGCGCATATCGCTAAGCGTTAGAATACGCTCTCCACTGCACCACTGATTACTCTGCGTGGGTTCGCAGGTTCGAATCCCATGCAGGGATAGTGCGTGAGGATTGCTGTACTCCTTGCTGCCGTAGGGTGTTTCACATCGCCACTGGTCAGAGAAGAGAACTTACATAACATTATATCTGGCCATTGTTAACACTTAGCTAGAAGTAATTTGACTCATCTCTGAGAAAACAAGCGTAACTGTAGTTAAAGTGACCGATTAGAAACCAATGCCATTGAAGTTTCAATTCATCAAATAATCTGATAACCAGTCTATCATAATAAAAATATGGAAATTATTTTGCCCCCATATAATTACCTATTTACCGAAAAATTATGGTCACAGAAATGCAAATTTGTACTCTTGTGATCACATTCCCATGTTTTGTGTATGCCATTGGTCGGCAACCTTTTTTAAGTGACGGACTGGTATATCCTGATCAAAATTTTGGCGAACCACCTTCATACAAATGAACTAAGCTTATGTAATAAAGTCCACACGTTTGAAAATAAAATATTGACAATATGTTCAAAAACAAAGGCGATGCTATGCCAGATCTTTATTTGTTTGCTGGCCATTAACAGTTTTCAAATTGGAAACCTGTTGGACAGCGACACACGTGCCAGCACACCTCAATATTTCGTTTTTGTAGTTGTCAATATTGAAAACCCGGCCTCAAATAAAAACTATGTTGTAAAAAGTAACAATGCCTGTACAACTCCTGTATCTATATCTGAGTATTGCTAGATGTACGTTTAGCAATAACAAATGCATTTTTTCTGTTTGGGTGATGTTTTTTAGTCGTAGCGATTGTCTTTAGATTGTAGAGGTTTTATTAGGGGTTTGTCCGTTTTTGTGTCACCTTTTTTGCGAAATGGTAGTTCCTTTCCGCGGCTGCCGCCGATCGCTGGTGTATGCCACTTGTATTTTTTTTGTGTGGGATCAGTTTTTAATAATAACTAACACTAGCTTACTGAGACTGTCAAATATTACATACAGGTTGTTGTATTTATGAAAAACCTAGGATATTTGGGGAGGACTCGTCGTCAGATGATAATTCTAGCGATAGTGATGACAACGCTTACGAGAAGAAAACGAAAAAAGAGCGAGCGCAGAAGAAACGATCGAAACAACATGATTGTAATGATCACGGTAAGTTCTAAATTATTTTGAGAAGGGAGAGCCCGCAAGAGGCTGATGTTGATACTGGTTCGTATAATCAAGATACAGATATAATTACACTGTTATGACTATACATATACTCAAACTGTGATAATTGCATAACAATTGGTGGTATCTTGAACCTAAAACGGTAGAAACAAAGTGTTACCAGTCCTTGTTGGGATGGGATACGTTAGCCAGTTTTTATAGATTATAGACTTTTAACCCACAGCATGCAACCCTTGCAATGAATGACAAATATTCAACGAGTTTCTTTTCCTTTTTACAGATCACAGCCCGCATTCTCCTGATCTGCCAGGACCACCCACATGACACAATAGTCTCATCCTTTTAACTTTTATACATATATATTTATTTTTTATTTTGAATAATTTGCTCAAAGCAAGGCTCTCTCACCCAGAACTGAAGAAGTTCTGAGGGAAGTAACAGACGACCCCTAAAGTGCCAAGAGCTACTGAGTTAATGAAGGATTATAGCAAAGTCATATTAGAGTTTGAATTCATCGCTCATAAACGCTCCAGAAGTATGTGTACTAATATGGATGTAACTAATTTTGTTCGCCTATTTTACATCAAGTTGTGCAAAAGGACTGAAACCTATGGGCAGGGGTATATTCACTTGGCTAACACAGGCAGTCCCCGAACTCATAATAGAATGAAAATTGGAATAAAGTTATGGCCTAACCCTAACCCGGTACACATACTACGGGAGTACCCACTGGTTGAGGCAAGACATGGGCAGTTCATGTCATTACGATCAGTTCAAAAAGCTGTAAAGAAAATGTTTTAACGTACAAATATTTCAAATTTTTTGGTTTAAGCGCAGATTGCACATTTCTAGTTTGAATCTTGTTCCACTTCACCCAGGTATTGATTTGCACGTGAGAGAATTTCTTACGTTTACCGTTTTTCCAAATAAGAAGTTGTTCCAACCATATCATTAGATGCCGGTGGCCGCTTGTAAAAATAGGGCGATAGCATTATAACCAGGCACGAGAGTTGGTACTGCCGAAGTATGTGAACCAAGATGACGGACACCAGAACGTAGTATGTGTACCAAGTTAGGGTTAGGCCATAATCTCGGGCACAAATACTACGAGAGTCATTTGGCTAGTCCCCGAACGAATATAGAAAATTGGAATAAACTTATGGCCTAAACTGGTACGTTCTGGTGTCCGCCACCTTGGTTCACATAATTCAGGAGTGCCTTAGTTTTCACTGGAGCCGTAGTCTCATTTTTTAACTCCTCAAGTCTGCAATATTTATTTTTATGTATTCATAATAGCGACCCCATAGGTTTTCGAAAATCATAATACAAACCGTCTTAGGGCACTTTAGGGTCGAAAAAGTCTTGCATAGTGAAAAATCTATAAGCCCCATATTGTTCTACCAGATGACCTGTGGATACATCTTCTTTATTTTCTGATTGTCAATTGTAAAACATTCACCGTACTGATTTAATACTTGTATTTTAAATTAAACTTGAGTTGTCAATGGGATGGCATGATAGCGATTTTATATTTATCGTGCCAGAGAGGGAAGTTGTTGAGATTAAATTTGTTAGCCAGTAAGTGGCAGAGAGAAATACAGCATCCCCCACGGGGTGCGAAATCACGTAGGGTAAACAGAGATGGCTTGATTATATCACAACTTTCCGCTCATTTATATATTTCAGAATCATGACCGGGACTGTGCGACAGACTACTAGTACAGTCACCTGGTTAAAATGTCCAAGAGAAACTCTGCTAGTTTGTCATTAGATTGAGCCAATTTTTCCAAAGGATTAGAACAGTCGCTCTCAAACCAAGGCCCGGAACGATTTAATATGGCTCGCTGAAGTTGAAGCGGTTCCGGTTCCAATTGGTATAACAGCCTCTTGCAAATAAGTATCCATCCTCTTTTATTTTGGCCCTGGTCAATCAACTTTGGGAACCATTGTCTGTATAGACCAATTTAACTCAGACTTCCAGAAAGAAATTCTTCGACTCCAGCTCTGGGCTCCAGAAAAATCAAATTTTTGATCCAAATACCTCGGCATAGGCAAACCTCCTGTAACGGTCAATTTAGAAAGCTTTGTCAAGTTAACAATTAGAAATCTGAATTCCCAACTGACTTGTTCCAGAACTTCCCCTTCAAAAATACAAATCAATCAACATGCATATCTACCACATTTTGCTTTAATTATTGTAAATTTGCGCTGGCACATACAGAAACTTGCCAAACCTTCAGTAGGGAAAACAATAAAAGTTGCGAACACATAAAAAATCTGATAATCACAGCAAAAGATGTGGCACCTGGCAGTATTGGCTGGACACAAGTTAGAGATCCCAGGTTCAACCGCGTGTTTGCCACCCTGACAAGTGTATAAGAAACTGGGTAGGCAATATCGAACCGGGAGAATAAGTGGGGTTTTGCATTTCAGTGAATTTTTACTGGATTCTCGTTCAAAGCAATAACGCTTTAATAACGGATGAAGTCAAAGTTTTGCACAAGTTTGCTAAACTCTGACAATATAGCAGAGGTCCCCAACCTTTTATGGCTTGTGGCCCCCTTCCAGAGGTTTCTAAGCCTTATGGCCCAGTGGTATTTAGAGTGTTATTATGATTGGAAGATTCCAAATCCCATTAGTTTCAAACAATTCATGCTCAATAAAGTGATTAGACCCTGTGAAACAACCTTATCAAGCAACGAAACTAGGAAGTTTTCTTGTCAAGGGACAAGTAAAATCTGTTCTGCACCTTGTGACCCCTATTTATCGGCGACGGCCCCTTGTTAGGAACTGCTGCGCCAGGGTAACTACTATTGGGGCTGAGTGGTGGTCTCTTATGTGTGATTACCGCAACCAGGGAAAGCGATTTTTAACAAAATAATTGATAACATTTTTAATTAGAAATATAGTATTTACAAACATGATTAGGAATAAATTTAGCAAAAAAAAGAAAAAATTCTGAAAAATAACAGAAATCATGATTTAATACAAATTTTTTTTAAATACTATCAGCATAATGGCCTAGTGCACGGGTCAGCAACCTTTAGCATTGGAAGAACCGTTTTGCATCCTTTCCATCAAACTCGAACCTCCTCGGAGTCGCAACATCTACTCTAATGTCAGAACTCAGAGAGATGTAATAATTATTAAAACATAATTTTATCAAAAAAGGGGCAATCTTGCTACAATTACTAGCGCTGATCATAATATGGAACTATACGACCTATTCTTCTGCAGAAAAACCGTGATTAAAACAAAATTTAGTTATAAAGAGTTATCTTGCTACAAAAACTAGGGCTATTCATTCATAATTTTTATTATATAGTATGTGTACCAGGTCAGAGTTAGGCCATAATTTATTCCAATTTTCCTTATTTTAGTTCTATTAAGAGTCCCCGGGAACTGTTTGTATTAGTCAAGTGAATATACCCCCTGCCCATAGGTTTCAGTCCCTTTACACAACTTGATGGTAAAAAGGCGAACAAAATTAGATACCTCCATATTGGTAACACACACTTCTGGAACGCCCAATAATTTGTGGAAAATGTTTCTGAACATGGCCTGATACATTTAGATTCAGAAACATTTGGATTCGGAATTGAGGCATTGAAGAGAACGCCACCTTTTTTCTTAACAGAATTCACTCAAAATGAATAAAAATAAAAAAAACAACACAGAAAAAATTAGTTCAAAATGAATAAACATCACCGGGCTAAGAAGTACAGTGTTAATAAAACAAGAAGAAAATGAAAAAAGTTGAATTAATTAAACATCAACCTTGACCCGGTACAGAAGCGACTTGGCTGAGAAATAATTTGCTCAAAGCAAGGTGTTTATACTCACTCAGAAGCAACGTAGACTCATTTGTAGTGAACTTTAAAGGCAACCACTGTATTGCCAAAGCTATCTCACATCTATGATAAAGAAACATAGCAGTGAATGAGAAGTTAGTACTCAAACTAACGTTTTCACGATAAGAGTGCACACACACACACGAAAAAAATTATCGTTCCGAGCCATTTTTAGAGGGTATGCTTTATCTCACCGTTTTAATAAACAATTAAGGAAACTTGCAGGTGCCAGAATTTCATAATCAAGATTTAATTTTTCCCTACGATCAGCTGGAATGAAAAATTTTTTCCAACATGAAGTCGGCAGTCGATTATAAATTTCACCGGCTCTGAAGCCCTGGTCTTAAATCAGGTATGAGAATAGTGAATTACTACATTTTTCCAGATTCTGATTTTTGCAAATTACGATCATAGAAATGAAATCTGAAACATTATTCACATTAAAAAACTATGCAGCAGTTAAAAAAGAGGTCAAGTTAACTTCAGTGTGATTCAACACCAAAAATAAGGGAGTTTGAAAATAGCAGCACTGACACCTTTATACTAACAGTAGATAATTCTGACCAGACACGCCTCAATGGTTATATTAAAAGAAATTGTACTGAAGTTTGAAAATAGCAGCACTGACACCATTACATTAGCATGAGAATATTCTGGCCAGTCACGCCCTAATAATTAATATTAAAGGAAATAGTATTGAAGCTTGAAAATAGCAGCACTGACACCATTACATTAGCATTAGATTATTCTGGCCAGTCACACCTCAATGATTATTCAGAGAAATAGTACTGGAATTAACTAAACTTAATAAACAGACACAAAGTTGAAATAAAAACTATTAAGGCAGCTAATGTGTAGAAGAGTTGTAAGTTTTGATTATTAAATTTTTTCACTGATGTTAGTAATGAAGGCCAGCCTGTAGGGTGAGAGTTTGACACGATTTCATTGATGTTCGATATTTTGAAACCCTTCACTTTATGAGTCTGGAAGTAGATATTCGAATCTTTGAGACCTGAATGACTTTTTTTTCAGAGTTCGTGTTTGGGAGCACATCCTAAATTTTCAGAGTTTGACAAGTTTTTTTTTCATGATATTAAATGTATCAAAATTTTTTTGCGATTTTAGTTTTATTGATATTGAAAGAAGATCAGTTTTGAGCCTAACGTTGTGGCCCCCCCTACAATTGCTTTGTGGCCACTTTGGGGGGTTACGGGGCCCCCACTTGGGAACCACTGCGCTTGAGTTTTACTTCTATATTTCCATGTGTGTTGTCCCATTTCAACATGGTAGTCTTCAACCGTTGCTCTGTTAGTGAAAGAAAGATAGATGTCAGACAACTGTGTCTTAGGCCAGTTAAGGCCTTGTTAATTATTAATTAATTATGTGGGCGCTTTCAAATTTCGAGGCTAATAACTATACATACATGCGAAATATTTTTTTAAGTCAGTGCGTAAATTTCTTCCTACTTCAGAGGCCTGACCGTAGTTGGTTACTTCACAATTAATGGCTTATTTCAAGCACTGTATTTATGATGCATAATTAATATTTCATTTCTACAACTGCACAATGTTAGCTCAAGCGTGACATAATTAGAAATAAAATTACTACATGGCAGCAAAAACATCTATAATGGTGGCACAGAAAGTTAGCGGCATCTTAACCATGACAAAGAAAATGGGAGGTCAATCCCTAAACCCATAGTTGGATGATATTTACTATGGCAGCATGGCATTTAAATGGGGCATCAAATTGATTTCAAGGCATTATTGAATGCCTCAGTGTCTCCAAAGTATCAGGGCAGTGTGTGTCTTTCCAATGAAAATAATTCTCTCCATGCCACGCTAGTAGGTGGCATGGTTTGTTTTGATGCCACTGCCTGAAACACAGGAACCATGTTACATGGCATTAGTACACTTTTGATGCCACAATTTTTATAAAACGTCATTGTTTTAAAAGACAATGTGCAAAACAATGGTGGCTATTCGATGCCGTTTGGTAGGTGCCATGGCTCTCATGTAATAAAACACAGCAAAGTGTGAGGTGCGGCATGACAAGTGGCATGGCACATATCTGATGCCACTGAGTGAAAAACATTGCAAGGCATCACAAAAATGCCACGGAACAAATTTACAACAACCATTTAGTGCCACGGTGGGCATCGAAATATGTCCCACATTTACTGTGATATGTCGTCATTATCGGGGTCCACATTAGGAGGGAATTCCCGTTTGGGACTAAAACGGCAGCGCTGGTCCTCGATTCTTGACGACTGCATTCGAACAATCAATCTTCGTCTGGGATAGTGGGCGTTAGCAGCACCGGAGTGTCGAATATGGGAGGTGACGAGCGCTGGTCATTTAACCTCGTGCTCTGAAACAAACAAAAAAAATTAGGTCTAAATATTTCATTTTGATTAGGTTCTGATCAAAAATTGTAGCCTTATAGAATAGATTCTTGGGTACTCCCGTAGTATGTGAACCAAGATGGCGAACACCGGAACGTAGTAAGTGTACCAGGTTAGGGTTAGGCCATATTTTTATTCCAATTTTCCTTATTTTAGATCTGTATCTGATATTATGGCCTAATCCTAAACCGGTACACATACTACATTCCAGTGTCCGCCATCTTGGTTCACAAACTACAAGAGTATCGTACCTATTTTTTTTTTTTTGCTCAAATCAAGGTGACTTGCACTCACTCATGAGTAGAACTGGGCATTTTCGAATATCTGATGATTTCAGAATCAAATCAAACATTTTTTCGAATCTCGAATACTTGGAATACATGTAGTTGTATGTGGCTGTTATATTGTTACGGGTCCACATAACTGAAAACACGTAATCTATCACCTGGACAGTTCACACACAATAGGAAATATGTTTCATCAATAACTCACTTATATGACAGAATTGCATTTTAAAAATTTGACATGAATGAAAAAAAATGAGGGATTCATCTCGACCTGCGGGCGGAAAAAAACAAGATGGCGGCCGTCTAAACCAATGCGAATAATTGGTACTTCCGTAGTATGTAAACCAAGATGGCGGACACCGGAACGTAGTATGTGTACCAGGTTAGGGTTAAGCCTTAATTTCATAACTTGGCTAGTCCCAGAACTCGTAATAGAACTAAAATAAAGAAAACTGGAATAAAATTATGGCCTAACCCTAACCTGATACACATACTACGTTCCGATGTCCGCCATGTTGGTTCACATACTACAGGAGTATCTAATAATTTATTAATTGATTAGAAATGTCCAGTCCTACTGATGAGTATAGTAGACTCCTCTTACGTCTTTGTCAGAGTGAAATTGAAAAAAACTCCTCACAAAACACTCACCTGGCATCTCATGAGAGCGTTAAAAAATGTGTCATCGAGTGGATGTCTGTTTTCATTTCCTGGTATTCCAACGTTTTCCAGTCTTGGTCGAAGAACCACTGAAAAGGAAGAATGAAAACCACCTCAAAAAGTTTTTTTAAGGAAATTTCTCTAAAAAAGGTCACTCTCACTCCCTCAAAAATAACTGACTGAGGTTAGAGGCAACCTCTGAAATGCCAAGTGTTACTCGATTACCAAACTTCATCTAAGAGTTATGCAACAAGTGGTCATTTCTTAGACTTTGGATGAAAATCGCTAGTTAGGGCATAGCATGAGAACCTAGTGTCGAGTACAAGGCAAGGCTGAGCCAGAAGTGTATTCGAACTTTAAATAACTCAAAATCAACCCCACCAGAACTGGAGTGGAACAACCTGGAAGATCTCCATGCGTCATAAGTTGGGAACCACTGGCCTAGTGGGCACAGCATGAGACTTAAACTGAGACCTATCCTGCGAAACACTCCTTGTGAAAGTTTATTGTGTACGAGTGGACGCATTTATGTGTGTCAGTTTCCTGAAACCTTTTCGTATGTTTTAACAACTATTAGGAATAAAAACCGAAGTCTTGTGAGTAGTGTGTATATGAGCATAAGGATTGCATTGTGCAACATGAAGCAATGATTAAAAAGTTTGTAAAAGAAATTCAAGAGCAGGAGGGTCATTGAATTTCTTGCATTTTATCATGTTGGAACGTCCAACACCGAGATATTTGACTTCATAATAGATATTGGTGTTTTTGATATAAGGGGATCCCACGGTAAGTCCAATTGCATATCATGTTAGTCTCCCACGCCCACCACCTCAGCAAATAGGACAGACTATGTGGAATTGAAAAATTAAAGTATCATCAAATATTAGTGCCTGGCTGTAGGGCCTTGTTCGGAATGGAAGATGTAAATATATTATATTGTATGAAAAACACTCTACCTGGTAATTAGCTGCAGCGCCATCTGGTTGTTGCAGATTGATGACTCCTTCGCCGTTGACCCTTAACCCAGGAAGTCCAGAGAGACTCACCCTTTGCTCATCCATGCGTTTTGATTGAGTTTGCTAACATATTCATCATTGTTGAAATTTGCTGATGTTGACCGTCTAAGAGAATAAAAGAACGATGCTCAAATATATGGACACGAAGACATAAACAAAGTAGTACGAGTGTAGCAATCTGTAACAGTATACTATGTTACCCGCTGTCACGATGTCATAAAACCGAGGAAGGCAGTCATCACGGTGTCATAAAAACATGAGATTTATTTTTTCGTCAACCAAAATAAAATAACAGTCTAATAAAAATAATAATAAGTAATAAATTAGTTTGGTATAGACAGGAGGGAGTGATACGACCAGACGGTCATCAAAGCCAACTCCCCCCTTTCAAGCTATTGTGTTTAAGATTCACAGTTTCAGATGACTAAATATTGGGGAGGAACATTCTAGAATTTAAAATTATATTCTCAAAATGAAAGAATAAAATTGGGGAATGCTAGAGTAAATCATTTTTATTTGTGTATGTGGAGATGAAAAATCAGATCTCACAGAAAATTTAGGGAGCAAAGAAAGTAATGGCCTTCTAGCAAAAAATACTGGTACTCAGTGTTCACTATTAGCGCACTTTTTTGCGAAAATTGCGAAACACTTTCGCAACTTTTTTTAGGGACTGCGAAATAGCACTTTTTTCCGATTTTGAAGAGAAAAAGCACTTTTTTCCGATTTCGAATGGAATAAAAATTCAAAGTTAACAAATATTTTGAGTATTAAGTTGACAAATAAGTAACATACTAGTACTTTTGTAACTCAATTCTGCATATCATAACGATATTTATCGGAATTCTAACCTATGAGATGCAGACAAAGGAGATAAAGCTTTTGCATTAACGGCAAAATTCTTGTTTATAATATGATTATTATACAAGCACACCGATTCCGCTTCTCCCGCAAAAAACGCTCCCGGGTGTTTGAAACCAGATGTTGGAATACTAGGCAGTGCGTTTCTTTGAAGGTCATGTGACTATCAATGATATCGATGAATTCAAAATGACTATAAAAGTGTTAGTAATGTGTTATAGTCACTTTGGATGAATTGTGACCAAACTGCACGATTTTCAAATCAGACGAAACTTTTAGCAGCATGTCACAGATTTGCAATCACCAAATTCACAAAATACCATTAAGTGCCATTTTATTGTAATCACAATGTTGAAACGACGTGGCATTTTCCGGAATTTTGCGATATTTACACAACTATTCCTCATTGATATGCGAGGACAGGTGGCAAAATTCAATATTTTTTTGAATCGAATATTTTTAAGGAGTACCGAATAAACGTGGTGGAAACATTAAAAAATCGGCAATAAAGCCTTTTTACTGGTTAATTCCGTTGTAATGGCTAATTGTTCTTGTCACCGATCGTTTTGGCGGCGATGTCCAGGTTTTGGGTAATCTATATTCCCGCCCTCTCCTTTTTACAAATATGAATTCTTGTGGGTCGGCGGTCATCAAAGTTTTATATTTCGGGTTTACCCGTTCGTTCACATCGTCAACAGCTGTTGAAGACATTGGGGACTCAAATTAACATTTGCGTTGGCTTTTATATTACCTATCAAGATTTGTAAATTTACCGTCCCAATTTTATGGGAATGGTAATATTATTGTCCATACCGTGATGCAGATATTTATTAAGACGATAATTAACTTTGTCATGTATTTCTATGGTGATAAACTTCGCAAACCTGAAATTGTGCCAATCCTGAATGTTGATTTAAAATAGTGATTGAATAATTCGGCAATAAAGGCATTTCTGCGTGGTCATAAGACGAGATGGCGTTAATGAACAGCACTTCTTTTACAGGATATTTTACGTATGCGACTTAATGCTAAAAAGATTGGGCTCGAGTGCTTTTTTTTTTCGAGTGCTCGAGTGCCTAATAGAGGTCAGGCGCTAATTGCAACTAATTCCCTCAAGTTTCAACGTGTTTTCAACAAAACAATACCCCGGCGATAATTATAGCTAAAATGTTACCGAGCAATTCACAATTTTATTTATGGAATTTGCAAATTCACCAGTTTCTTGACGATTTTGATATTGTCATGCCCTAAGTATTAGTGCAAAAAATACTCCCATTCTTCCGCGGCGGTTTGACGGGTTCTTAGTTCTATTCTTCAGAAAGTTCTGACACGGGGATATAGAATACTGAATCCGGAGGGTTGAATCCCTGTTCACTTACTGGTGATTTTCCGTTTTGAAATGCGTGAAACATTCTTTATTTTAAATTAAATGACGTTTCGCGGGCTAGAGTTCTCCCCGAAAATGATGTGTTCCAGACGTTAGTTAGACGATAGATAAAACATTAGATTATTAATTTTCGTGACGCCCCGTTTTCGAAAATACAAAGTTATATCGCAAAAAAGCGTTATGATACATTTGGAATGAAACATTATTTGCCGTTAATTCAGATCATATTTTACTCTTCATGACACCCGGTATCCAAAAATACAGTTGTATCTCGAAAAATGTGTTTTGTTACATTTAAAATAAAACATTTTTGCGATTAATTTAGATCATATTTTACTTTTCAGGACACCCGTTTTCGAAAATACAAGGTTATATCGCAAAATGTGTTTTGTTACATTTAAAATAAAACATTTTTGCGATTAATTTAGATCAAATTTTTCCTTTCACGGCAACCCGTTTCCGAAAATACAAAGTTATATCACAAAAAATGCGTTTTGTTACATTTATTTTGCATTCCCAATAAAATACATATTTTCCCTAATTAAGGTCGTCGATGAATCTGTTCCTGTCGTTCAAGCTCGACACACGTTTGGACGAGTGTGGGGGCGGTTTTTTGGTCGACAATAAATTAAAAAGTTGCCACACGTTATTTGTATAACGATGGTAACTGAAAATTAAGATTTAATGATAGAAGTGAATTTGTCTCAAGATGGTATTTTACGATTCCTGCCCACAGAAAATAAACACGCTGACAGGCT